CGGTGGTATGTTTTTTTACATTCCAGAAACTTGAACGCTGCTATTCTGTTTTAACAAGTCTCATCAATGGTGTGTTTTTTACATTCCAGAAACTTGAACGCTGCTATTCTGTTTTAACGAGTCTCATCAGTGGTATGTTTTTTTACATTCTAGAAACTTGAACGCTGCTATTCTGTTTTAACGAGTCTCATCAATGGAGTTTCCGAAAAAGAAGCACATGACACGCTTAATGCTACAGTAAGTCATAAAAGAGTTTTGTAAACTTGTATCTTGCTTTCAACATAGTATACTTATTGTAAGTCACCTTATTCCACAGGAAAATTAATTATATACAGAGAAAAAAAAAGAAATAGAGGATTGTTAACAGAGGCTAAGAACTTCTGCTCTGTAAAATAATTGCATTCAATTGATCGTTTCTGTATTGTGTAAAACAAAATGATCAATTTGAAAACTAAGTTACAATAGATAAAAAAAAGAGTAAATATTATTATTGTTATAAAATCGTAAGTTTATACCTGCGCTATATCATACAAAAATGTGTTTGTAGTCATACTAATATACATATTGTTTAAATAAGTGTGTACAAGTTGATTTATTTACTAGTGCAACTTAGTTAGTAAAAATAAAAGTTTTTTATTAAGAATTATTTAAATGCCAAATGTATTGGTTATTTTTCACTTTAAAAAAATAATAGATTATTTTTATATTTAAATGTTATGACACAAAATAGTAGTAGAAATTGGTACCTTTATTTTTTGGCTCCTTGTATTAGCACTTTTAAGTTTTGTATTTTTATAACAGATAAGTAAAGGATTACAGAATCACGAGGAAATTAGTTTGGGACTTGTAGTTGGTATCATCACTGACCCAACCAATGCAGCAAGGGTAAGCTAGGTTTATTCCTTAATGCAACCCCTTAGTTAGGATAGCTGAGTCTCTTGCCCTAAGTTAACCCTTACATCAGGGTAAAATACATGATAAGCTGGTCAAGTTTTTATGATCTGTAGCAGGTTTAGTTTGATTATTTAATAATTAATGAAATTAAAAAGGTTCTCAGTCAAGTGTTAAGGTGAAAAATTGTGAAGAACTGTTAATAGATTTATAATTTGTTACCAAATTTATGAAATGTGTGTGGGAACACTGTGTTGTTGAATCTGGTTTAAAATGGTCAGATATTGGTGAAGAAATTAATTTTCTGAAAAAAAAACATCTCAACATTATTAATTGATTAATTAATTTAAGATTACAGTTGCTTATGCTTAGCTGTTAAACTTGTTCTTTATAAAAAAAAATTGTTTTTCACCAATAAATGTGAGTTTTAAATTCTGAGCTTGCATAAAAGTGGATTACTCTTAAGATGTTGAGCTTTTGTTATTGAAATTTCATCTCAAATGTATAGGATCAGCAACTGTTTTTTTAACACAACTTTAATTTAATTAGTTAATTAGTTAAGACTTGAAATTCCCTTCTTTTCTACAAAATGGAAGATTGATTATTTCTAATAGAAAAAAACAACAAGTAAAACTTTTTATCTATAAAAGCTATAAAACTTCTCTATTCTCAGTATTACAGAGATCTCACCTACGTTACAAGAGATGGTCTTGCCTTAGTTATTGGTTATTTAACCCAAATCATTTTAGAAAAATACACTAAACTTCAGGACACTAGCAGAACACAGGTAAGCGCAAGAGAATCATAGCAGCTAATTAGTCTATTAGAAAACAGGTAATTAAAGAGTATATTGAATTTAATTTATTCATGTTTTTGATAATATTTTTATTCAATAGATTATCCACAAAAGTTTATTATATAGTTTTTCTTTGCTGCAATACTAGCATTTTATTTGTTATTAAGTTTTAAACTTTTAATGAAAGGAATTTGTTTTTAAATGCGTTTCTGTGTTTTGTATTGGTAGAATTGTACTTAACTGACTGAATAAGAACTGTTAAGATAGAATTAATCGTACTTGTATCTAATTATCCAAGTGTAATTTAATGAATTTCTTGTGTACATTTATGTTCAATATGTAATGGTTTATTGTATAAAAATAGTAATATTACTTCTCACTTCACCTGAAGAAATTCACAGATAAAAAAAAAAATCTTCAGTTTACTGCTTGTTTAAATTTTATAATGAATTATGAATATTTATTATTTCAGTTTGAAGAACTTGGTTATTTTTTCTTTCCAGCTTATTTGGCTTTTAAGAGAAATGATTAGAAACTCAGTTCCTGGAGTCGATGGTTTATGCTACAATCTTCTTAGGCAAATAGCAGGTGAGTAGATAATCTTAGCGGAACAAAATCTAGTAACACAAAATGAAGTCGGCATTTTGTGTTACATTTTCTTTATAGGCAGTTAGCAGGTGAACGTATGCTTTTAGTTAAAC